TTTCCGATCTAACAGGTTGTTATTCTTAACATTTTCCAGACGATCGTCGACGTCCGATCGATTCGTCTCGCCATTGCCGTTCACATGAAGAAGAGGTAGATTGGTGTCTAACCCATCTTTCTGGAGAATGGTAAACGCTGGAGAATTCTTTCGTTCGAGATCGAAAGGATCTCCATTGGCTGTTGGCGCCAACGCGGAAATCCCAGCTGGCATGTCGTCGTTTTCAATAAGTCTTGCGGTTATTTCTATCGCGCATTTTTCAAGCACAAAGTAAGTACACTAGCTGATATCTTTCAAACCTTTGATTTGATATTTTTCTCTTTTTCTAACTAGATTGTGAATCAGTGACCTGAGTTTAGGAGAAGGATGAGATGATCCGAGAGCGCCTGGCACGATGGCCACGATGTTACTAACAGGCTCGCGATCATGCAAGCGAGTTCACAGAGTGGACAATGTCCTTAGAATCGACCGATATATACCGCAGACATGCTACACGTATATTTTTACGCAGCGGCCACTCAATAACGCTGACCGTCGTGAACTTTGCGCATGCCTAACTCATGCTAAAGGGGCTCGAAATCGGTGGTAATGTACTATGACCATGTACGTCCGACGATGTATCGTAGAGTACCGACCAGAATTTATCTTCAACTTTGCAACCCTCTCCGTCAACTTCTTCAAGGTGAAATGTCTGCTTACCGTTAAATTTCGTTTTACCGACCGTTTCTCGTGCCAACTTACCTTGTCATCCTATTTATTTATGAGTAAAGTATTAAAGTTTTCGCTTTAATCGCGTGATTGTGTTTCATTGTTAATATAGGCCTCTTGGCCTACAGCTCTGTTCTTCCAATAATAATGCCGTTTCGTACGATCGATCGTTATTGGGTTATATACGGCAAAAATTTTTGAACATTTATCATGCATAAATATTTATCAGTCGAAGATTGCAACATTTACATATTGAATTAGTATATTACGGTACGAAAAAGACCTAGTCACTATGCATAATAACTACGTATTCCTCATTGTCTTTCTTGGTAAAAATTTTCGTGATGCAGATTCGTACTTCTCCTACAAATTAACTATCCTTTCAGTTCTTTTGCATTATGTATAAAACGTAGCTTTAAGCTTGTCATAAATTACTCATTCTTTGAAAACTCTGTGTCGGCGATCTCTGAAATTGATTAGCAAAGTGTAAGAAGAACTATAATACTAACGAACATAAGCAACTGCAGTATCAGTTATCTGTATCAGATAATTGCATAAAGATCTCCTAAGTTGATACTTATGTGAATAGAATGAAGTTTTCAGGTAGGCAGAGAAAGCTTTCACGAGAATATGAAGTGCAAACTTTAAAGTTGACAGATATGATAAGAAAAAAATTTGTAAGTAAAAGAAAAGGTAAAAATGATTTATTTCTTTGATACCTGTTCAAGATTTTTAAAGAAACTAAATGCTTCGTTTTTTTT